TCAAAAAAAGGGTAGTAACTTTAACGATAACATTTCTCCTAGGAAGCATTTTTTAGAGAAAGGGACATAATTTTGATGAATTCTCAAAGTCTTTTATCTAGGTTTGATGAAATTCACAATTTTATATTAGAAACAAAGCCTATATGGCAATATGTTTAACAGAGACAAGACTCACAGATTGTATAAGTGATTTTGAGATTAGTATTTTGAATTATAAAGTTTATAGGGTGAATAGTGAAAACAGGCACACTGGTGGTGTAGTAATTTATATAGATGATTGTGTTGACATGTTAAATATTGAACAATATGTATGTAAAAAAAGTTATTGATTTATTGTCTTGAAAGTCTCTATTTGTGGCAAAACTTATGTGATAGGTAATTTGTATCGTTCTCCTGGTGCAAGTTGATCTGAATTTTTGAGCTTTTTTGAAGGTTGGTGTAACGCATCTGAGGACATGAGTCATCCTGTTATTATAATGGGAGACTTCAATATTAATTGGTTGGCTGAGGGTACATATTCGTTGAGATTGAGGAAGATTGTCAATGACTCAGGTTTCACACAGAATGTCAATTTACTCACTCACCCTACAGAAGAAGGAGGTAGCTTAATAGATTTAGTTCTATCCAACAATAAAGCTGGTATCGTCAAGTGCCAAGTTATGGAAACACCCCGTATTAGTGATCACCATATTGTAAAAACCATCATTGGGTTGAACCAGGCCTACGCAGAAAAAGTAACTGTATGTACAAGAGGTAAAATAGATTACCAACAGGTGAATATTGAATTGTCAAATATCTTGTGGAACTACAAAACGAATCTCAATGATATAAATGCTAAGTATCTTTATTTTTATAATAACATACTTATTGGATGTTCTGAACAAAGTAGCTCCAAAAACTGAAAGGGTCATTAAACAGAACTATAGAGAATGGTTTAACGATAGAGTGAAAAATGCCATCACAAAGAGGGATAATAGTTATAAAACGTTCAAGTCAAATAAAACGGTAGAAAATAGAGAATATTATAAACAATGTAGAAATGCAGTAGTAAGAATCATTAGGGAAGAGAAGGAAGTTTTTTACCATAAAAAGATAGACATGGCAAAGAATAATCCCAAACAAATGTGGGATACACTGGGTCAACTTATTATAGATAAAAATAAAAAAAACATAGGAAAAGTAGAAATCAATAATGAAATCATCACCGACCCCACAGATATAGCCGAAAATCTTAATATATATTTTGTCAACAGCATAGAAACCATAATTTCACATATAGACAAGGGTGATGATAACCCTAGCCCCACTCCAATGTCTCAACGTGATGGCTGTTTCACCTCTTTTCGGTTGATAGATTTTAATGAGTTGAACAGTATCATTACCTCCTTGCCCAATAAAGGAAGTCCAGACGATATAACGGCAGAGTTTATTAAAAAAACATACCACAACATAAAACAACCCCTTTTGAATCTAATAAACACTTCCTTAGAAACTGGTAAATTACCATGTCTGTTAAAAACATCAACAATAATTCCAGTTCAAAAAATCAGGGGTTCTATAAACGCAGGTGATTTTAGACCAATAAATCTTCTGGCGACAGTTGAAAAGATTCTAGAGAGGGTGGTATACAGTCAATTGATGGAGTATATTAATTCAAATAACATCCTTATTCCAAGTCAATCGGGGTTTAGAAAGGGACATAGTTGTGAGACAGCAGTACAAAATATTCTGTATGATTGGAAAAATCTTCTTGATGATGACTATGCTGTGGGAGCTGTGTTTTTGGACTTACAGCGCGCGTTTGAAACTCTAGATAGAAGTAAATTGATAAAAAAATGCAAAATTATGGAATTTTGAATGACGTACTTGATTGGTTTGTGGATTACCTGGATAACAGAAAACAAAAAACAAAAATTGGGAACAATATATCAACAACAAAAACAAACAATTATGGCGTCCCCCAAGGCAGTACTCTTGGTCCATTACTGTTCTTGTTGTATATTAACGATATTGATTCGGTGATTCAAAATTGCTCTATACACTTATTTGCGGATGATACATTGATCTATTTTTTTTCAAAAGATCTAGTTAGCCTGATGCATGCAATAAATCTGGATCTTCAGCAAATTCAGTTGTGGTTCAATGACAATATGCTTAAGCTAAATGTTGGAAAAACGAAATTCATTATGATTGGAGGTAACAGGATCCAGCATGAATATAATCAGTATGAATTGAAGATAGAAATAGGTACTGAACGTGTAGAGGTGGTACAGAAGATCAAGTATTTGGGGTTCATCATCGACAATTCTCTTAACTTTAAAGAACATATCCTGTACATCATTGACAAAATATCAAGAAATGTAAATTTTCTGTCCAGAGTGTCCTCATCATTATCAAAATGGACCAAAATAACAATATATTATACCCTGATCTTACCTCACTTTGTGTATAGTGCAACAATACTATTTACTGCCAACAAAAATGAAATGAATCACCTGCAAAAGTTGCAAAATAGAGCTATGCGTATAATATTGAAGAAAAGAAGGGACACACATATAGTTGACTTGCTGAATGGATTGGATTGGCTACCTGTTGAAGGGTTTGTCAAGTATCAAACAATGATCTTTATCTATAAAATAAAAAATGGAATTACACCTGACTATTTGACAAATAAATTGATCACCAGTGGGGACATTCATAACTATGCAACTAGAAATAGAGACAATTTTTATGTTGCAAAAAAGAATAAATCGCTTTCTGAGAAAGCAGTATACCATAAGGGGTTAATAATTTTTAATGCATTGCCCAATGAGATAAAGAACTTGCCAACCATTGGATTCTTTAAGGGGAGACTTAAAGAATACTTGAAGGGAGAATGATGCAAATGAAAAGAAAAAAAAATGTGCTGTATTTTGTTAATTCAGAATTGTCCAATGATCTCCACATTGTAAGACGGTAGTATTACTAGGTGAACTAATTATTATATCTCTTGTATTGTAATATTTATAGTATCAAATTTTTTGTACTAAATTAGATGAAGTCTAAATAAAGCAATTATTAAGATGTAGAGTCATGCACAAAATATCTGCAAAGGTAGCAGTGCTGAGCGGCTGAAAAGCCGAAACGACTCCCCCGAAATCTACAATCTCATTTTTAGGTACTCCTGAATAGTCCACAAAAAAAAAAAAAACTCAATCAGCCAATTATTAACTGAATTACAGTTTTTTCTTTCATTATTAGGGGACTGCTGGCTTTACGTTTACTTGGAAGTGTATTTGCAACAAATCTGATGACAGTGTCTAAAATGTTGTAATGGAATTAGGTCCTATTTAGTTGCTCGTAAATACTCGAAGAAAAAATTTAATTAGTTTATTTTATTATTAACTGAATTACAGATTTGTTTCATTATTAGGAAATTATTGGCTTCACGTTTACTTGGTGGTGTGTCAAAAGCTAAAATGTTTTGGGATAGGAATTAGTTGCTATTTAAGTGCTCCTGAATAGTTGAAAAAAAACTGGAATCAGTCAATTATTAACTGAATTACAGATTTTTTTTCAATATTAGAATCTCACAGTGGCTAAAATGTTGTTGTATCAGGTGCTATTTAAGTGCTCCTAAAAAAATATCTGTAACTTAGTTAATAATAATTAACTGATTCAATTTTTTCTTTGACTCTTTAGGAGCACTTAAATATCACCTAATATAACATTTTAGCCACTGTCATCAGATTCATTGCAAATACACCCCCAAGTAAACATAAAGCCAGCAATCCCCTAATAATGGAAAAAAATCTAGGCCATATTTTAACGAGTATTTTAAGCAAATAACAATCAACTCTTCTATTGAACCAATTAAAGAAGTAATGCTGGGTTTATACAGACACATAACATAACATAAGAGATAACCTCGGAGATAACATAACATAAGATGAAAAGTTGACCTCATGGAAATCCTGAGAGAAATTCCTCGGGAAATTCTGTATGTTGTTTATACACAAAATAACATAACATAAAATAGGACACAAGAAAGTTGGTTCTTTTAACTTTTATGTCTTATTTTATGTGAAAATGGATCTGCACATGTTCCATTGAGAATTTTAATTTGACATGACTCTTTTGTGTACAGTTATGTTTGAAATTATTGAGTTTGATAGAGTGACAGAAGACACCTGATCATTCTTCTCCAGCTGGTTGGTTGAACAGTATTTCTTATGTTATGTGTCTGTATAAACGCTACAAAATAATCCTATCTTTTTTCTCATTGCGTTATGTCCTCGGTTATGTCTTATGTTATGTTGTGTGTCTGTATAAACCCACCATTAGTGAAACTAAATAAAATATCTAGGCATCATGATTGATGAATATCTGAAATTGGCTAGTCATTGCCAGTATCTTTGTAAAATAATCAGATATCTTGTTTATAAATTCTACTTGGAGAAATTTTAAATTCAAAAATACACCAGCTATTCTATTTTTGGGATTTCAATTACTTGTTCAACTGATGATTCATAATGATTGTTATATATTATATTAGGTACAGTGTAGATTATTGTTCTGTATGTTTCCAGACCAGATAATAAGTATAATGACGCACAAACAGAAGTATGAGTCACCTAGGTGCATTCAAGAATTTTATTTTAATTTGACAAAACTGTTAGATTAATACTAAGGTTTATTAATCTAGATAATAAAGCTATTGTTGTATTTGTAAAATGTAATTTAAAAAAAATAATAATATTTTTGTTGTGCCAAAATTTTTTAAAAGCGGTGCCAAGTATACACCTAGCTAACAAAGTATATGCAGAATTTACAATAATGGTCGCTAACAATATTAGATTGGCTAGACGAGTGGCGAGTGCTTATAGTTTCTAATGAATAGGTGCCATTGTCATAAAATGATAAGCTAGACTCAATGATTCATGATTAATCTCTGAGGAATGAAAATGTATGGTATGGGTGTTCAAAATATGTAACCACCCGTAAAAAGTTTATCTACTTACCATCAGAGTCTGATAAAACTTCCATCCGACCGCTAAACATAGCCCTAAGCATTGTATCATGCTTCGTAAGGGTCCCAATCGTCGTATAATGAAGGGATCCTCCAACATTCAGCTTCACATACTGAGAGGGGCTACCCTTTATAGTGGTCTTTCCCGACATGGCGCTAAGTTCAGTTTCGAACATATAAATTGATCTTGTGGAAAAGTATTGTACCTTTTAAAGTTGTAGGGTTCAGAAGTTTCACTTCGTCGTTTATAAAATTTCAATTTAAAATTAAATTGTAAAAAAATTGATATGACTCAAAAAAGTTTTTAGTTAGGTTAAAGTTGAAGGAGGGGCTAAAAGACAAGTGACAAGTTCCAATGTCAAATTTGAGAGCTCTGACTCCAGCCGCTTTCCGCTGTGTGCTTCAAGCGATATCGTTCAAGCACGGACAGCACAGTGTTCTGTGTTTGAAACGCAAAAGTTAGCAGCTCTCGAAGCGCAGTACGGCTGGAACACGAACATGCGCTTGAAGCATATGCGCGCGCAAAAGCTCGAATGCGTGCTCAAAAGCGTCAGCTGGAAAGCGGCTTTCATTAGATGTATTTCTTTCACACCTAGGAGGAGCTCCGGAACAGCTCCGGGGCGTTACGCGCTTATTCCTACCGACACCGTATGAAAAACATTTTGCGGCGCGCAAAACAGAGGGCGCGCGAGCAGGTCTGAGCGCGCAACCGTCCAATCTGAAATGATCGGCAACGTTTATCCGCGCTGAGCGGAATGCTTGTTGCAAAACGTTCGCGAACGTTCTGCAACAAGAATTCTGCGCAGCGCGGATAACGTCCAAACTGCTGCAACAATTTTTTTTTTATGTACCGACACCGCATGGAAAACAACTGAGCGTGCGTGAGCAAGTCTGTGCGCGCTACCGTCCAAACTGATCATGTTCTGCAACGTTCGCGAACGTTTTGCGCTGTTTGTTGCACCGGTCTGGTTGCACCAATGAAGTAGGGTTGCTTATCATAAAACTGAGCCGCTTTCTTTTTACATCTGCGAGTGACTCCGAGTGGTTCGTACTTTTTTCATGTGGCGCGTTCTTTTTATAGGTGGATTTTCCTCTTACTCTCCGAGCGTCCCTCCATTTTCCTGTATCCTTAACGCGCTGATTGCTGCTTGCGACTCTATACGAATGTCAAACCAGCCTAAAAATGCGTTCCTTTCTAGTATTTACTTTACTGCGAAGGATTTGGAACGAAAAAACATTCCATTGGAAAAATAGTGCCGCACTGGGGCCGGAGCGGAATTCAAATATTCAGGGCAATTTAAAATATGCACTGGTACAGTCCCAATTGAGTCAACATTTGACGTTAAAGTCCGATCATAGAGTCAAACACAGATCTTCTGATTTCAATTATGAAATTAATTTTCATATTCATAGAAACAGTGAACCGTTTTCTAAAATTATGAAAAATTGCACGAGTCTAATCAGTAATCAGTTCTTTGAACTGGCCCCAATGGAACACTAAACCCGGCGTGAGAACTGCCGATAGAACAAAATTTCTGCACGAGTGCAGCTCTAGTATAACCAATAGAAAACGATAACCTGTCTTTCTCATTGTCATATAAAAGTCTCTTGTCAGTCTTGTCATTATTATTGTTCTCGTCCTCGTTCTCCTCAAAAATCTCTAATAAATATTAACAAATATCACAATCAGTTGATGGCTGCGGGACATGAGTATGAGGTCGTGATCCTTTGACCGAGCTTGAACGAAAAAGACTTTTCTAGAAGTAATAAAAACGTATAGGTATCCAGTTTGCATCCCTTATAAAAGTTGATAAATCAAAATGGCTAACGGACCCATAGCTGAAAGAAATAGAGGTAAATAGGCCCATTCTATCTAACAATAAAAGAATAATATTCATTTGACTATCTACACGATTCCCCAGAAAAAAACTCTTGGCTCTATGCTCTTGGCCCTTGTAAACTATGGAAAACATACCATCAGAGGGCTTGAAAAGCTGTTATCAAGAGTAGGCAGATAAGTACCCTCTTCAACGCAAATGTTTTTTTTTTTCTATTCTGCTAACCAAGGGCTAGAGTTCTTAGAGTGAAGATTTCCTGGGAGATTTTTTGATTGAATCGAATAAAAATTAAATCTTGTTTCAGATGCCACTATCTATGTTGGAGGCCTGGATGAAAAGGTTGTAGACTCCTTGTTATGGGAACTGTTTGTACAAAGTGGACCATTGGGTAGGCAAATTTTTTGATGATTTAAATATGTTTTTTTTTTTTGTACCTCAATTAACAGCTATGTTTACTTATATCATTTCTTAATAATATTTTCTCCCAAAATATTTTAGCTTAAGAAGGTTAATAATTTATCTGCACATCAGAATCATACGTTTCTAACAATAGCAATAGCCAATAATAGCATTAATATTTTTAGTATTTTATTAGTGGTTTCATCTGTGTCCAAAGTCTTCAAAGAGTTTTGTACAATCGACTGCTGGCATTTAGAGAGTGACCCCTATTAGTATAGTGAATGGATTGAAATATTCGCTTTAAAAATCGAGTTACCTCCCACTTTTTTGTCACAAGCTGAATTTTTTAGGGATCAAAGTTAAGATAACCCTTATTCCGGAGGTAATACAAAATTAGACTGTGCAAAAGGGCACTATCATCAAAAATCGAGATATTGATACCTCCGTATAGAGAAAAAAATACTTTATTATTGGTCCAATGCACAATAAGGTCATTGCAGCGAGTATTTTTTTATAATCATTCAAAAAAAAAATGTCATTAGCTCTTATGGCCGATAAAAACTTTAAACGTAAATATCTCGGTTTCAATCGTGCAAAAATTTGGTTAAAAATCATCTTTTTTAAATATACTGTGGCCGGTTTGCGGCGGGCAAATAAGGCGCACTGATCAACTTAATTAATCTACTGTTTATTTATGCCAAATACAAAAATAAAACATCGGTAAAAATGAAAAAATAGAAATTGTTCGGGTGTGTTGTTTTATTATTCGAGCGGGCGTCGGACTTGTGTCAGTCATCAGCTGGCCGGGACTCGGAGACAGTTGACGTTCCTACCGCTGGTGTACCGCGTTGCCGCTCCATTTGCATGGTTGCCAACGGATCTGGGGCGGACATCCGCCACAGGGCTCCCCCCCGCCACAGGGCTCCCCCCCAGTGAGGGACCCTCTGGTTGCGAACGGTTCTGTTGGCACGTGTTGAGGAGCAGGCGGTTGGCATATGCATGTTCTTCTAACACCTGATGAGACGCTGGAACGTATGCTGGTTTGAGTCGGTCCATCGAGACTCGCTGCGGGGCATTCTGGACGTCCACTGTCAAGAATTTCTCGTGACGTTCCAGTACTCTGAACGGGCCACTGTAGGGGGCTGTTAGCGGCGGCTTGACTTTGTCGGTACGTATGAATACATGCGTTGCTGTCGACAAGTCTGGGTGGATATAGGCTGTGCGGGTTGAGTGGTTGCTTGTTGGTACTGGCCGTAATGCCCCCATAATTTCACGAAGTCGTTGGACAAATCGATGTTCGTCGGGTGCGACAGCACTCGGAGCTAGCAGTTGTCCAGGAAGGCGAACTGGTGTACCATACACCAACTCAGAAGCTGTACAAGAAATGTCCTGCTTGAAGGTATTGCGTAGGCTTAACATGACCAGGGGGAGGGCTTCGGTCCAGGATACCACGTTGGTGGCGATGAGGGCGGCTTTGAGGGTTCGGTGGAACCGTTCAATACACCCATTTGATTGTGGGTGGTAGGCAGTCGTCTTGATGTGCTGCACCCCAAGCGTTGTGTTGAGCTGGCGGAACAACTGGCTCTCAAATTGTCGGCCTCGGTCGGTGGTTATAATAATAATAATAATAATAAACACATTGTGTTTATCACATTACAATCTAGTCAGTAAGACTAATTAGCAATTTTGTTTTAACCTAATTTACTATAAAGTTTACAATTCTTGAGGTTCACTCAACAGTTTTCCCCACTTTGCTTAAACTGTAAATCACAATTTTGATGTGTTGATAGCACTATTTTGTTCTGTTTTTCAATTTCAGTTCACTAGTTCGAACGGCTTCACCCTTCTCAGTCTTCTAACTAGCTCAGTGTTGTCTAGGAGCTCAATCACTTCCAGATTCACATGCCGATGTAGTCTATCTTCATGGCTTTTTGCGTACTTTCTTATAGTCTCTGTTACAGTATCAATTCCTAGGTCCCGATGTAGATCACTATTTCGAACGTACCAAGGTGCATTACCAATGTTTCTTAGTACTTTATTTTGGAATCTTTGAATAACTTGTATGTTACTATCTTTAGTACAACCCCAAAGTTGAATGCCATATGCCCATACTGGTTTCAGTATTTGCCTATAAAGCAGTAACTTCTTATGTATGGTTAAATTGGATGTCCTTCCAATTAACCAGTACATTTTTCTATACTTAAATTGAAGCTCTTGCCTTTTTTTCTTCGCATCAAGCGTCATACCAAGATATTTAGCTTGATTTGAATATGGTATAGGGGTGTCATTAATTGTGATTTGTATGTGATTTACGTTTTTGTTTGTAAAATCAACGTGAATTGATTTGGTTTCATTCAATTTTATTCGCCATTTTTTGGTCCAATTTTGAACTTCACTGACAGCGTTCTGCAGTTTTTCTGTTGATTGTTCAATACTTTTTTCCACTGTAATTAAACCAGTATCGTCGGCGAATGTTGCTAAATGACAATTTTCTGGTTTTGGGATGTCACATTTAAATAATAAATATAAGTAGGGACCTAGCACGCTACCCTGAGGTACACCTGCTTTTATTTTTGGTAAATTTGACTCAAAATCTTCCTGTTTGACTCTGAAATGTCTATCACACATATATGATTCCAAAATATCAGAATATTGTTTTGGCAGAAACAGCTCTAGTTTATAGTTTAAGCCTTCATGCCAAACTTTGTCAAATGCTTCCGCTACATCGAGGAAAACTGCGGAACAGACTTTTCCCTCTTCCAGCGTTTTTTCTATTAAATTCGTTATTCTGTGTACTTGGTTGATCGTAGAGTGCTTGTCGCGGAATCCAAATTGATGAGTTGGAATGATTTCCTGTCTTTCTGTGATCGGTTTTATTCTTTTTAGCAGTATCTTTTCATAAAGCTTAGATAAAACGGGCAATGATGATATTGGCCTATAAGATGACACATCATAGGTGGTTTCCCAGGTTTTGGTATCATGATAACTTCTGCAACTTTCCAAAGTTTAGGTACGTATTTAAGCCTAAATGACGTATTGAAAAGGTTGCATAATTTCACAATAGCTTTCCTGGGGAGTTGTTTTATTACTTCCCCAGTTATTAGGTCATATCCTGGAGCTATTTTCGGACTGATATTTTGTTTGATCTCTGTTAATATTTCTCTTGGTGAAGTAGGCTTAATGTGGCCTTCTTCTTGATAAGGTTCATTCCAGGGAAGATTTTCATCCTGTGCTTCGTTAGCCTGAAATGTCTTTTCTAAATGACTTGCAAAAAGTTCTACTTTTTCTTCGTTACTCCTTGTCCATTGCTGATTTGACTTTCTTATGGGTGGAATTTGGGTAACTGGTCTTTTAAGGCCTTTAGGTGCTTTCCAAAGAGAATAATCAGTGCTTTTGTCGCCAGTGAGTTCACTAAGGTAATTGTTAATAGAGTCATTTTTGATTTCTTGAATTTCTCGCCTTATGCGCTGCGTCATATTGTTGACAATTGTTTTGTCATGGGGATCTCGACTTTGCTGCCATTTTCTTCTTAGTTTCCTTTTTTCTATAATAAGATCTCTAATTTCTTTTGGGTAGTTTTTTCCCTTAAAAATTCTTTTTAATTTGGGACTGTCTTCCCAAGCTGCTTGTTGAATATTAACGATAAAACAATCGACTTCTTCATCAATTTGTTGTGGCGTTCGCAACGGTACTGATAAGGCTTAAATGAAAAAAAAATAAATTCTTTATAAAAGTTTCGCTTGTGTATTGTCTAGATAACAATGCAAACCACATATTTTTTGCTTCTAAATTAACAAAGATATAACAATAAACAATAAGAGATGTCAAGGTTTATGCGAGACCAAGATCTGACCGCTGAGTCTCTTGACTTGCTATGCATCTCTGTCAATGTTAATACATATAGGATCCCTTTCACTCTGTTACATTATTTTGTATAGGGTTTATTAATTTATCCTCTTGAAGGCGCAGAATGTTTCATAGGGTGTATGGCGTATTACTAATTTATAATAATATCACTTGCTTTATTATAATAATTTGCCTTTGACGAAAATGAAAAATAAGATAAATTAATCATATTATCAAAATACATGTAAAGGATGTTTCACGAGCATCGGAACAGGGGCGTTTTAGGATATCTTCAGGTCGATTAAAAAAACGCTCGAACACGTCAATTTTGTATTTAAGGGAATAACTTTTTGACCCCATCGAGACTTGCACCCATCTTTTTTAAATACGGAAGATAGGTCAAGTAGTACCTTGTTTTAAAGGTATTTTGATTCTCATCACAAGTGCATATTTTTTTTGAAAATCGAATGATTAGTTCTCAGGGTATTCACTGTCAAAGTTGCCATGGGCTAGATATGAAACAATTTTCATTCCCTGTTATTCTCAAATTAACAGTTTCCTCTCGGATAAGTCAATTTTCATTTTTTCAGAAGCACTTTTCTAATAATTTCAATTTGTTTTTATTCATCACATCGCCCTTTATGAAGGGTAACGTTCACCCTTTTCACCAAGATAAGGAAGGTAGGTCCAGGTTGAATGGTACTTTGTTTTAAAGGTATTTTGATTCTCGTTGACACTCCTAATGTGATTTTTTTTTTTGTATTGAGAGTGATCACCCCCATTATTATGATAGAGAGTGTCGGCTGAGTAGCATCTTGTTTTGAAGATATATCTTTCAAATAGCAGCATTTTCTAAATGTTCAATATTGAAGGATTCAAAGTCAAAGTCAAAAATAGCTTTATTGTCTTAAAACAAAATGTTGCTGACAAAGCCGTACTAAAATAAAGTCTAAAACTAACACTAAAATTAAAAATTAAAACATTACTCAGTTAAAACAGAGAATTAAAGAACAAAAAACAGAAAAAAAGTTTTTACCAACGCATAAAAGACAGACAAAAATATAAAATCTAGTACAATACGCAACGCAACAATGTAGAAAAAAAAGAAAAAAAAAAAAAGTAATAAAAGTAATAGTAAAAAAA